ACAAATAAACATAACTTATTTTTGATATTGTAGTCTTATAGACTTATTATAATGGACTTATGGACTGTGGATGTAACAACATTGTAATCAAATAATCCAAGTTTTAAAAGTGCAGGCTTAATCAAAAGGTGAGCATGTACCAGTGGTGGATGCTAGCTGGTGCTAGTGATCCTGTAATTTAGAAAAATCAATTCCTCGTTGGTCCTGCTGGAGGAGATCAACGCCATGATGATGTAAACAACAAATCCAGATATAAAGCCCTCCAGTGTCCTCTGATCAATACCCTCCCAGTGAGACAGCAGGAAATAGCAGGGTCATATAACAAACCAGGACAACCCTCAGACTTCAACATGACAGCCTGATACAGACCAATTCTCAGCTAATATCTGATGCACACCATGTTATCAGATTGACAGAAATGTGGGAAAGAGCTCCAAGGAAACATATTGCTCTCCATAAAGTACACAATAGAGGGTTGGAGCGCACAAAGACGCAGTCTGTGACCGACAGCTAAGAAAGCGTTAATAATGCAGGAAAACGCTTTGCACAGAGATAAATTAAGATATAATTAATATGCCTACTGGAGGGTGAAGTGCGCGGGTTAATGTTGAGTATCAAGCCTGCGTTTTTATTTCTGTTTTGTTTTTTTCTGACGCGGAGATACGCGTCCGCGTGCGATAATCCACACCGCTCCTTTGCTGACAAAACAAAACAAAAGCACGGATAATAATAGAAAAATAATAATATTAAGACAACAAAAAATACGTACCTTATGATGAGCAAAGAGGTAAAGTACGGAGCGTTCTTCGCGGGGCAAAAAAAATCGATAACCTGAACCTGGCTGAGTTTAATTCCCATAATAAGACGCGCGCGCACATGACGGACAGAGCTGCGGAGGGGAGGGGGGGCTGAGCGCGCTTCCTGCAGCGGCGGGGGGAGAGCCAAAGCCGCAGCTGTGAACACTAACGTCACATAAACTAGCCACTAATCCTTAAACACGCATACGAACACTCACCTCCACGCCATTTCTGAGTGTTTTTATTTGTTTAACTGGCCTCCATGTTTAACGGGGTCAACAGTGGCTTCTTCATGGATGTTTACCTGGCGGTGTAGTGGGAGTTACAGTAGTCCCTCACAGCTGACAGGCTTGGTGACAGCGTCAGGGACGTCCCCCCCTCCCTTCCTCCCTCCCTCCCTCCTAGAGACAGTACCGACGGGTAGCAGCAGCTTAAAGGCGCTCATTCATGTGTAGGTTAAGGAAAGGGGACCGGTTCAGGTACAGGAGGCGCACTTTAGCACTTTCATGACCTACAGCGATGAGGTCATGGTTCATGAAGGAGAGGAGTGGAAAAAACTGAAAAAAACCATAAGTTGACGTCACCTCCAGCCAATCAGCGCCAGCGGTTTAGGGTTAGAGTGACGTCAGGCTTCAGCCTCATGAATTAAAGGGATAGTTCAGCTTTTATGTATTTATTTTTTTTACATCGTAATCCCAAAACCAAAATAACCAGAATTGAAGTTACGTTACGAATTAAATTATTTAATTGACACTGGTTCAGATTAAGACTTATCCATATGCTAGAATGACCAAGTGCCACAGGCTGATTGCATCCATGCCACACCGCATTGAAGCAGTCATTTCTGCAAAAGTATAACTGCACATAATTATTTGAAGGTTGACTTTTTTGTATTAAGAACACTTTTCTTTTATTGCTTGGATGAAATATGCTAATTTTGTGAGACAGGAATTTTGGGTTTTCGTGAGCTGTGTACTAAAATCATCCATATTAAGACAATAAAAGACCTGAAATATTTAATTTAGTGTGCAATGAATCTAAGATATATGAATGTTCAAATTGTATCATTACATTATGGAAAATATTGAACTTTATCACTTTATTTGGAGAAGGACCTGTAAATAGAATAGAGAATCCGGGGCAAGACTCAGAGACCTTTATCCTATATGACTGAGCATAAGCTGCCTGGAATTTCCAAATTCCTTGATGTTCCACGGCCGGTGCAGAATAACAAGCAGGTATTATAGAAAAATGTTATTCTACTAGGAACTTGCTTTGGTAATAAAGGAAACTTCACAAATATATGCATAATTCTCCTTCCTCTTAATATATATGCAACCATTTGAGGTGCATAAACAACAGCTGAAACGAAATATTTTGGTGCAAAAGGTTCAGGATTGTGAAGCTGTTGCAGTGGGGGTTCCTGCATGGCTCCTTAGATATGTCCCACATGGCTCCCTAGGTAAGCCCCCCCATGCACTGTGCCATGGAGTGGGCACCGTTTTAAAAAGACTCAAAACTGACTCATTTTAACACATCCATAAATTGTGAAAAAGATTTTTGTGCATGTGATAATTTGAATAAAAACCAAAACAAATAAATAAGAAATACATATTTGATTACTTCAAATTCTAAATACTCTGTTAAACATAACGTTTAAAAATAATTGTCATTTTTGAACTAAATTAAAGTCTCAATTACCCATTTTGAAATGTAATTGTTTAACTCTGATAAGCTATTTACATATCCATACTTGTTTGATATGTCATGTGTTTATGAAAATATCCTAAGAATATCAGGCCTTATTAATACTACTTTGGCCTATCATTAATTTTTTCTGAATATATTTTATTGCAACTTTAGCTCATGATAGTCTACTTATTAAATAAAAAATAAAAACAATAAGAATTTAGAGAGATTAAAAGCTGAAAATGTAAATCCAATAATACTTTATCTAGCTTTATGGCTGCAAAGATAGAATGACTAGTTTTTGAAAAAATTGAAAACTAAGAAAGGTCTTTTTTTTACAGTGAAATCATAACATAGTTCAGTCCAGTTGTTTTTTACAAGTATGATACATATTTCGGTTGCAGTCTGATCAGTCTAAATATTTGAGGTTCTAAATAAGAGAGGATTAATTAAGGAAGAAATATAAACCTTTAATTAAGCAGGAAATAAACAGAAATTCCAATATCAAAATCAGTATTATCAGCCATAAGTTATATATTTTCTTACATTGCGTAAACCCTTTCATGCTGCCTGGATTGAGTATAGTCAATAGAAAACCTTTTTTGAGTTCATCTGTTTTGTTTAAGTGTTGTTGTGGCCTTATATAGTGTGCCACACTGCTTGGAAAACCATTTACTAACATCTAAACCAACACTAAACCCAATCCTTTCCGCCATTTTACCATGAAATAATAATAGTTTGATGAAAAATTAAGTGAGAGTTAATGATTAAAACCATGCATATACAGTCACTGGGGAGTGAAGTTAATTTTCCAACACAAAATGAGAATTCAAAACCATCCAAAAATGATGTGCCTGAATAGGGAGACATAGATTTACTGACAGTAATTAATGAATAGGAATGTCTGACATTTATCTTTTTCCCCTTTAAGAATCATTAAAACCATTTGAAAAAAAAAAAAAAAAAAAAACACTACAATTAATTACTTTGTTTATCTTAAAGCTTATTCTGCTGCTCCCCCACAAATATGTCAACAACTCAGGGTTTTGAGCCTATGATAGGGTGTAAAAACACTGACATCTAGTGGCCAGGTTGTCAAAACACACGGGGAGTTGCATTAAGGCAAGAAAAAAAAAGCCAAATCACAACATGAATAGACACCAAGACAGATTCATGAAAATCTACTTTTATTTGGATGCAAAAACTCACAACTTAAAGCGTTACTTCAGCAGAGGAGAGGAATACTGATTGCTGGTTGTTTTATGTGTGACTGGCTGTTGATGTCATCTTCGTTTAAAACATCAGAAGAGGACGAGTGAAGCACTGGTAACAAACACTCAAAATAAAAGCTGTTTGATTGAGGAGACTAAACGTTATCAGAGGATTATGTCAATAGAATGTGGCAACCGGGTGTTATTCGATAAGCAATTTTGGCAGTTTAATTCAGCAAGTTTGCGTTGAGTAATTCAGTATATCCTCTGATAATGTTCAAGACCGTAGAAGTTATCAGATTCTTTGTTACATAGAAAACTATCTGCACTGTTTTAGCTGCCTTGCACATAGCATTTATTTCTCAACTGTGTTGTCAACTGAGAGTGGCCTAGAATCACAGATGGAAACAGGACTGTGTAAGAACTCAGTCTGAGGTAAAAATTCTCCAAGAAAAACAATAAAAACAGAAACAGAAAGCAAAGCATACTAAAGCAAAGCCTAGAGGCCTAAAAGTAATAGTAACACTCAAGACTGAACAAAATCTATCTATTTACTTTACTGTAAGGTAACTTAGGTAAGTGTCACATTTTGTTCTCTTACATCTTGCAATATAAACCAATGGTTTTGATCCACAGTATGAGCTACATTCCATTATGTTGTAAACAGAAATATACACAAGGCATCTACTCGAAAGGATTGTATCAAAATGTTCTAAAAATATCTCTGGTTGGTTTCACAAAAGCAAACTGTATCAAAAGCATTGGCTGAGAGCAAGCAATAATAATAATAATAATAATCATAATAATTATAATAGGCTTTCACCTTTCTTTTTTTTTTTACACAACAGAAAGCAGGACAACCAATCACGTCGCTTTGATTGTGGACTTTACGGAGTCCCATACAGCACATGCAATCCATTAAACTCAACACAATCAAAAACACAATACAGGAAAAATAAGCTTTACAGCTGAACATCAGACAACCTTGGTTGGTCTATTGTGCTTCATACAGATTAGGCCTGGCCTGTCTATACAACAATCATGAGCTTTGTTACCTCACAGATGCGTTCAAGCTACTGTTGTAAGCAGAGGCATCACAGAGCAGGAGGATGACGACGTTATGAGACGATTTTGACGAGAGGGAAATGAAAAAGGAGCTTAACGTCAGCGCCCCTCAGCTTGTTGCTTTTTCTCCAAGATCTTCTGCTGATATTCTGTTGTTCACATTTTAGGATTTTGCTCCTGGCCTTTGCCCCTTCGGTGTGTCTCTGTGACGCCTCTGATGGAACATCTATGATGTTGTTTGCTGTAAACACCGTGGGCCATGAGGACTATGACACGCAGCATGGATTATTAAAAAAAAAAAAAAACAAAACAAAACAAAAAAACTAAAAGAACTGTAATAGTTTAATTCGCACAAAAATCCTAATTAGCCTAACTGTTACATTCCTGTGTTCCATAACATTGCACATGCCTTTAACAAATACTTAGCACCATGCAACCTGAAAATGAGGTGACTCAGGCCTTCTGCATTATTATTTTGTACATTAAAAGAGTCAATGAGAAAAAAGCTAGATGTTGGTTAACATTTTACATCAATATAGGAGTACATATTAGGCTGGCATTTTATTATCTCTGTAGAATTAAATAATACTGGCACTTATTCTGTAAAGGGCCCTTATCTTAATCACTCTTAGAAAGGATTTTTCTCAAAGCAAACTCTAGTGCAGGAGATCTGAGAATGCTTTAGTTCTTCTATAACCTTTTTGATAGCTGTACAATCGTTACATAAGGGAGCTATTTCCGACCAGGACTGAAACAAGGCCTCGGAAACTGAGACCTATGAGCATCAGTGTGATGAAAAGTCTCAGCAGCACGAATGAAACAACACATGGACAAAGGGCTCGAGTTATTACAGGGCTGCTGGCTCTGGACAGATGTTAAAACACTGTTTGATTAGATTTTTTCAGAGCAATACCTCCGTTGATTGTGTGCAGCGACATTAGGGACGGTTCCATATGAACGAGCCTGATTTGGATGAAGAGATCGGGGTTGTTAAAGGGTGAGATATGTGACGATGCTAGGTAAGGTGGTGCATACCACCACAGGTGGTACCGTGTACAGTGGTGTGTCTCGGTCTGGGTGCGGCTGCTGTGCTCACGTTACTCCTCAGCTGTGTGAGACAGCTGCTTCTCATATAGGCTGAGGACATGATGCACAAACTGGTACTGCTCACAGGTCTGGATCATCCCACCTCTGATAAACACACATAAGGACAACAAAAGAGGAAAATGGTGTTTACATGTCAAGCAGCCAAATGTACAAAACATCATGAATGTTGGAGTTTAGAATATATTTGAAATTATTTATGATGTAAAGTCTAACTTATACTGGGTTTGGGTATGCTGCGCCATCTAGAGTATGTTCTAGATGAGCAAAAGCTTGTTTGTGGAGCAGCTTGCATAACAGTATCTACCCTTTGACCATTTCGTGTTTTATGTTTTTGCTATCAAAGGATTTAGGGTTTTGCTTTGGTTTTTCATGACAGAAAAACACAAGGTAGTGTTAAGTACATTTAATGGATACATGGTTTTCACAAATATTCTGGAGTTCTGTATTTATGAAGCCATGTAGGAGATGCAGGGAATTTCTTTAAGCTACAGTGTGTAATTTTCAGCGACATCTAACGTCCAGACTGCAGACCGCAGCAACATGAACATCTCCCCCCCACCGCTTCTCCCCCCCAACAGTACGGCGAGCGTTACGGGACAAAATGTCTTCCACGACGTCCGCATCACCTACCTTCTCAAGTGATGAGGTTTGTTTACATAGATCATTTTAATACTTCCATCTATTGTTCAGTACCGTCTCAGTTCATCTCTCTCAACTTGCCGTAGTTACTTTCGAGCGTAATGGGCGATCTCGCAATCGCTAGTTTGTTGGCTCTGCGCTGCTGTAGCGCAAAGATGTCTGCCTCCATGGCTGCGAGACCCGCTCCTATGTAATTATAAATAACGAATTCTAAGGCAACGCAAATATTAAGGTTAAGAGGCTGAGCTCGTAGATGATGATAAATAACATAGTTATGTATGATATATTACATTTCTGACTGTATATCCCTGTAATTATTACACACCGTAGCTTTAAAGAAGATGCATTAGTCAGATAACCCCCCTTAAAACCTTTTGCTGAAGAAATCAACAAGACAAGCTTTGTGGTGTACATCGCCCCCATAACGACACACGGTAGTGGCAGCATAAAGCTTGGTTTATGTTTGACGTGCCCACTGTGTCCACGGACAGATCCGTGTGCAAAAACATAAAAACATGGCGAGCAAGCAACAGACATCCCCTGATTTTGACCATAAATATCAACAGACTGTTGTAACAACCCTGAAATAAATTAGTGTTGCTTTTGGACAGCATGAAGTGGCTTTGAAAAAGTTGTTAATGGCTGTGTTTTCTACTTCTTCATGTAGTGTGGTGTTGTCAGCTTGCTGTTAGTGCTGAATACGCCGCCCCCCTTGGAGCCTCCCAGAATGGGAAGAAATCTGCACAGAGTATAAATGCTGCAGACGCTGTGATGGTGGCTCATTTTCCAAGTGGATTGTTCATGCATCAAGCATAACCCAACCTTTATACTATAGGATTGCTGTTCTCCTGCAGGGAAAAGGAAGCTGTGCAGAGAATGATGGAGCAAAATAGAAGACAATAAAGCCTCTCTGAACAAGCTGAACTATGTGAAAAAAAAAGAAAAGAATAAATGTGCCTACATTTAGACTGATGGGGTTTGTAAGTTAAATATTTCCAAGGTATTGCATAACCCCCCCATGTAATGTTCTCCTGTGTTTGGAAACTAAATTGAGTAAATTATTTTGAGCTTGACCTTGAATGCACAACTATAAACAGACATGAATGCAATAATAGGAGCAGAAGCTTATCCCACCGGTCCAGACGAAGCTGGCAGGTGGTTCTCAGGATATCAACCACACCCTCGGTCCTCAGCTGTTTGCACAGGATGGAGGTGGCAATGAAGCAACCTGTCCGACCAATCCCAGCGCTGTGTTATTAAGATGGAGAAAAACATTCTAAGATTTAGTTACATACCAAGGGTATTCCTTCAGTTTAAGTCAAAGCTCAACCTGATAAAAAAGCAAAGACTTTGAAGATGACAAAACAGTCTTTTTTCTAATAGGACTGAAAAATATGATATTTTTTTAATCTTGAAGTTAAACATTAGCGTTAATGTTAATGTGTTAAAAAGCAGTTTAATCCTAATACCTGCAATGGACAATTATTGGCCCACTGGAGGGCAGGGCTTCCTCTCTGGCTCCCTCCACCTGCTGGACCAGCTCCAGCAGTGGCGGAGCCTTGTCTGGGGTCTTCTGGTCGGGCCAGGAGGTGTACCAGTAATGTCGTAGGGTGCGCACCTCTTCTCCACACTAGCACATGCAAACAGAGATTCAGGAAATATGGATATAGTCCTGTTGTGTAAACATGCGTACAGTTTTCAGCTTGTGTGTTTGTTTGAGGGATTGCTTTTTTTTTATGTTTGTTGTGCTCCATGTAAATCCAGATTGCTATGATGCCAAGACAACAGGTAATGCAGAGCAGGATGTGCAAAAAATAACTCCTCATTTGATAACAGTACTGTGCACGATCACATCAGGTTTCAACGTTTTCCTAAAATTACTCTGCCACTGATTAGTAATGGTACCGCTGCACAACTTATTAGCTGGAGAGCCACAGTCAAACAAACAAAACGCTTTTAATTCAAGGCACATTTATGTAATGATCCCACAATGCTTATTAATCAGCTGCAGGCTGCATTAGCGGAATCATGTTTTGTTTGTTAAGCTGCAAGCCCTCCATGACCCCAAATAAAAAAAAGGAAAGAAAAAAAAAGGAAAAATCTCCGGCAATAAAATAAATGCACCAAAAATATATTATATATTATTCACTACCACAATCATCTGTCGTGAGATTAAGGAAACGAATGTTGCAACCCAAACTGTGAATTTCAACACTGCTCAAGAAACCAGGAAATGTGAAGGCCTTTAGGTAACCAAAATAAAAATCTCTTTGCAAACTTATCTGATTTTCTTCTTTTTTTTTTGCAGTATGGCCTGATATATGATCAAAAATGGTTTCTAAATGAATTTTTTAGCTTGTTTTTCACAAGTAGCATCAACAAAAAGCTAATAATGGAACTATAAACCCCAGTTTTAAATTAGGTACTTGAGGCTGTTTTTCTTTAATAAAATGCATGATTTGTTTTTTCTGTGGGTTACCTTTAGAGTAAACACCCTCAGGCTGTAGTCATCTTCTTGAGTTACTGTGACAACAGTGATCTCTATGCCTTCATGTGTCACAGTGTCCTCAGGCCAATACTCTGCACATTTCTACTCCAGAAAACAAGAGAAAAGACACACAACCAACATTTGTAAATGTACGAATAAATTCACGGCGCAAATCCAGTTATCTAGTCATTACAGCAACCTCCAAATTTAAAAGCCTTACACTTAGCTAAATGTATGCATGTTTTATCATAATTTTACACAAAATATTTGAGAGAATTCTATCTAAATTAAGTTATGGAGGACCACAGAAGATGAAATTTTGATTTCAGAAGAGGTGGCTCATCAAATGTTTGCAAAGTGAGCTTCTCAGGAGTGACAGCGGTGACAGCCAATCACACAAGAAAAGACGGTTAGCCAATCAGGAGCTTGTGGGTGGTCTAAACTCAGGAAGGTGGGCCTCATCTTGACCTGCGGTTTTCCGCTTTGTCCTAGTGGTCGACAATTGTATGTGTAGTATAGCGTGACATTGTTTTTGGACAGTAAAACATGCAGAGGACCAAAATGGACGTGCAGGGGACATGCTCCCCCTGCCCCCCCTCCCCCCAAAATTACGTCCATGCCAATGACAACCCAAGCAATTACTGACACCATGTAATCAAGTAAGGTCCCATGGCCTGTGTTACATCACACATCCATCTTGTACATCAGTGGGTATGGAAGTTTTCTAACCTGCATCTATGTCTGGCTTCACACCACACCCTTGTGACGTTTGTTGACCAAATAAACAGAAATCTATCTTTATATAATCTGATCAAAGGATATGGTTTGGTTTTTGTTAAGTTTCATCAATATTTAATGGACATGTTTATGCTGGCTGGGTACACATTAAATGTCTTTATTCTGAAAAGCCTTGAAAAATCGGTAGTATTTGATTTTTTTACCTCTCATCCATCTTTGTTTTGCCATAACTAGGACTTAGAAATATTGTGTGGCTATGTGTTGGCATATTTATGCAAGCAGCTTTTCCCTGCAAGAATTTTCTAAGCTATAAAAATCAACACATATGTACTGTATTTGCTTTGCTCGAATGACTTGTTCCATTGTTTTTTTTCTAATTTTCAAGAGTGGTTGAGAGAAAAGACCCTCCGTGTCCTGTCATTGTCATGACCCAGGGGAACAGGATGAAACAGAGTACTAGCTTTAATTTCCAAGACAAAAATGGGAAGCTAAAATTATAAAAAAATGTTTTAGTTATTTTTTTTAATGACTTTTTGGATATGACAGACTTTCTTAAATTCATTCATTTTGCGTCATTTTGGGAAACAACATCACTTCTGAACCTGATTTATCTCACCTGAATGAAATAATGTACTTAAAATAAACATTGGATTAATTTTTTCCTTTGACATTTTTACTGAGTAATAAAAAAAGCTGATTTTATTATAAGATTTTTCACTCATCATTACTAAGGATGCTGATAAGTGCGGATGACATTTCATTATCATCATTACTCATGTCTACACCTCGTTCTTCTCCTCCAGATTGGTTATCATCACGATAATTGGGCTTCTCTCCTGCCACACCATCCTCCAGAAGTCTCCCACTGTGTTAACAGTTGGACCCTGTGTGGCAATGTAAGCTTGTTCCTCACCCCCATAACCCTGCACACACATGAAGATGGGACAGTTGTCAGCAAAAAACACAACAGCCGTTTTTGAACAAGGTAGCTGGCTTGTCACGCATTTTCACTTACTTTCAGGTAATTGGCATTAATGTAGGTAGAAAGAAAATCATCTTCATCCTGCGACTTCAAGATGACTCTGCTGTGTGTATCTGTAGGTGGACAGGGTGGCAAAACCCTAAGAGCACTTAAAGGTTTGATGTACTTGGAATGAAAGGAAGATATGTATATACATTCATGTCATATATTTCAATCTGTGATCACTTTCATTTCGCAGCTGTACTTACTGGGTAAAATGGTCTTGTAGCGATTTTTTCTCACAAGCCCAGGGTAATTATACTCCTTGGGGTCCACAAAGTTCATGGGAGTTTCCTGCCAGTAATGAAAGAAGAGTTGCTACAAAAATCTATCCCGACATTCCCTTCTGCCAAATGCTGCAAAAGTAATATCCAACATCATGAAGTCATCGGCTGCCCTTTGCAACAATCTCTTGCTGTCTAATTGTACTCAACCTGAGGGGTTTTGTGATACACAGAGTAAATCATCATGCCTAACAGACTGTAAACCCCTCTGTGGGTTTTGTATATGCAAAAACATTTGTAGCCCTACATGCTTCGCCCACTGACAGGTGCTAGAAAAGCTTACGGGTGTGCGGTGAGCTTGGTTGGGTGTTTGTGCATGTGTGGGTGTGGACATTAGTGCCTGCGTCTATGAATGCGTGTCAGTGTCAGCGGATGTCTTTTCCGGTGAGTCTGTGCTAATCTAAGAGTGTAGGTGGCTGAGCTGCGGTTGTTGCACTCACATAAAACTCCGCCTGCAGGCTCTGGTCATCCATGGCCCTTATGTGCAGCATGGCGGGGGTCAGGACATGCGTTCCCTGTCGAAGATACTCCTGGGCCGACTGGTCTCGTGGAGATAGCTGGGCCCCATAACCATACGGCTCAGTGCAGCCTGGGGTGCACATATCCAACGTCAGGGAAACATTGGAGCCTCTCCTGTGGGATTCAACCAGGGTTAGTTGGCACAGATGAGAGGAATGTGCACTCATTTGCTGCATAAAACTAAACATAAAAATGCTACAGGACAGAAAATCATTTTGCCTCCATTTCACCAACACTTTTCTCATGAAACAAACTTGATACTCTTGTGCAGAACGCCAATCTCTAACCTCTCCTGAAGTCCCACTGGTGTGACAGTGAGGGTGGAGGCATCTCCTTCCATCCTGGTTTCTGTGCCCATGTCAAAGACCGGAGTTTGCGGCAACGGGTCGAGGTCCATCAGATCCTCTTGGGCATCAGTCCACTCTGACAAGGTGAAAGAGGGCTGCCGGCTCACAGACTGCCGCCGATCGCTGAAGTCTTTGGAGATTGCTCCTGATGAGCATAAGCCAGTGCCATAACACCATTTGGACACCATGTGGATCACCTGAGATGAACAGAATAATCAGCTTACCTACCCACAGACCCATAAGGCACCGGAGTAGATAAAATATAGCAGTTTAGCTCATTCATTTCTTGATGCTTTACTTTAAAGTGGACAAACTTTCCTACAATTGTTTGAGTGATTCTTATTAATATATCCTGAGGGTTTCTGATGCTACTACACAGTTAGTATACATATAAAGTATGTTAACGACCCAATGAATTTTTTTTATATTATGTCACAATAAAGAGTTTAATACCTGACTGGTATTTCAAGTGATGGGCCAAGACAGGTAGTATAATTTGGAGGTGGAAGGAAAATTATACATCTTGGGTTATTTGGGTTATTTAATGTATTTGTCTTTTCAGATATGAATCTACAGTGTGGGGTTCTTGTACCTTAGTTAGTATTTTATTGATGACCTTTCACTTTGAGTACAGGGCCGTGCTGCTACAATTCATTCCAAATAAAGAGTCTACAATCAATCTCTATATTTGTCTTTGCAAAACTGCTTAAGCTGAGCTTTCATGAACAAGCATCTCTGAATCTCACAACAGATTCTTCATTGGATTTGGATCTGGAGTCGGGTTTAGTTCTGGTGTAGGTTTGTTGCTTGCCCTTAAATCTATTTTGCTTTATCTTTCAATCAGGTCCTACCAACCCACATATCCTGCTGAAAAAAGGTATGATGTTGCCATTACCGTTCACTGATGGGATAGTATCTTAAAGAAACTTTGCACAATTAGTTTAGTGTTAAAAACGTAGGCCAAATTTAGTCCTGTTTGACCATACATCTTTTTCCATGTTTACTTTGTTCCTTACATGAATTAAGGCAAACAGTAAATGAGAGACATGGCAGCTGTCAGTAAACAATGTTTGTTATTCCACTATCACATAAGTTTCATGGCTAATAGTTGCCCTATAACAGCAGCCTTCTTTGGCAGGCATGGCTTCAGTCAGTCGTTCCATTGTCCAACCCCCCAAATGTACGTGACGGACGGTTTGTATTGAAACTGAAATCTTGATTACAATGCAAATTGTAATTAACAACAAAGATCGATTGACTGTTTGATTGATTGCAGTTCCTCCAGTGTAAGCATGCTGCACTTGGCTGCTTCTCTGATAAATGGTTGTTTTTCCCTGGTCAGTCAGATTAATCGGACAGTTATCCTTATAGGTGTGAAATCGTGCTATATTATTTTCTAGCTCAGAATATTGTCTTAGAACTTAACCCCACGATGAACCTCCACAATATCACCCCTGAGCTAGTAGATATTATGATGCTGATGGTTTACTAATGTTCAACATCTCTAAGGCCTTTGAATAACAGCTTAAATTGTACTGAAACAACAACAACTATATGCAAATATGCTAGGTGACAAAAAACACAGATGCATGCAGCACGTATAAGAATTGGTTTGAAAAAAAAAAAAAGAACCATCATGTTACAAACTAGCTCGTGTTGGTCTATTAGATAGATTTCTAATTAAATAAACAGTTGGGAAGGAATGTAAGTGTAAAGGCTTTTCCGAGTCAGTTTGAGATCTTAGCACTTGTTCACAGGACATTTGGCATTCAGTGATCAACTACAGACATTTTCAGGTTTGCTCCTTTTCCTTAGTCCTGTTTTTTAGTCTCCCAGGTAGAAAAAAAACCAAAATCTGTGATCATTAAAGAAAAAGTAAAAAATTAGTAAAAGTCAGTAAAATCTGAACAACCGACAAGTTTCAAAACACAAAAAAAAATTGGAAAGGTAACAAAAATGTATCTCCTTAGACTTTCATTAGAATAACTAATAAAAATTGCTTTTAAATGTATTTGGCAGCCTTTCAAGTCATTTAGTTTTTAGCTTGATCTATTATTTAGTTGTTTTCTCTTACAGTTAGAAATGTTGTTTAATCCAAACTCCACTACATATTTAATTTCCAGTATTTTACCATGATGACAAAGATTGCCACTCCAATGCCTGCAGTGCCGCTGACAATCCAGTTGTGCTGTGATGTTTTTTGCACCTCTTTCATCAACACTGTAGACTGACCAATTAAGAGAAATGCATAGAGTTAGTTAGTGACTCACACTTAATATGTTACATCGATAGTTAACAATGAGACCATCAATCGACACTTACGTTCCACCCAAAAATCGCTTGACATGGTAAAAAGAACCCCAAGTAGAAGTCCATGACGTGTAGGGCTTTGTAGAAGGAAGAGAGCGGTCCGTTTCCTTCCAGTACAAAGAACATCCAATACCCCTGTAAGGGAAAAAGTTAGAGTTAAATAGTGTCACTTATTCAATAACTGGTAACAGGCAGCTGCTCTCAGGTGAAAAACAGATGGTGTAGACATGTAGGGATCCTTTTCTAACATTCAATGTGAATGTTGAAGAACCAGCAGGGGTGACAGTGGTGTTGGATGTAGGAGTTTGCCCTACAATCTGAGGGTTGCCGGTTCAAGCCCCTGCTCCGACTTTGAGTGTCGTGTCAAGACACTTCACCTGCATTTCCTACTGCCAGTAAGCTGTGGCTACAATGTAGCTCGCCATCATCAGTGTGTGAGTTGTTACGTGAATGGGTGAATGACTGAATGTAGTGAAAAGCTCTTCGGTTAAGTCCTCTGACTTCAAAAAGTGCTATAGAAGTACAGTCCCTTTACCACTTAGTAGGAGCACCTTCTAATTTCTCTTCAGCAACAAATATCAAAAACTAGATGAAACACTTTGACATAATTAGGCGTTTCTCCAGAACAATGATAACATCAAAACTGTTGTTGGCAATGGCGTAACATTATCTTGGTGGGTCCCATATGAAATACAACACCCCCATCCCCTACCCTCCCCCCGTCGTTACCACATTGTACGTAACGGTTATGGTTTTTAATCTACGCTCTGGATTACCCATAATTCTAAGTTGTATTGTAAAAAATAAAATGCCCAAATACATTGTTCTTTTAAGAACTTTATTGCAGTTTGAAACATTATATGAGTGTATTTTTTACCAACCGTCTAATGAACTATACACAGGTATTTACATAGTAATTGATAGTACCACTGTCTGCTTTGCTATTGGTGTCATGATTAAACTGTTAACCATCCTGTTGAAATCTGCCATGTGTTAGGGTAAAATAAATATAAATAAGGTCCGGTCAATGCACTAAGTATCAGGTGGGTTTAAGAGGAATTTTTCACACTATTACATCTGCAAAGAGACGTCATAGTCCACAATTGCGTTGGGGGGCCAACCAGATGTCAGTGACGGGCCCCTAAAAGGTCGGGGGCCTGTAAGCAATTGCAGTCTCTGCTTACCGATAGTTATGCCATTGGTTGTTGGAATTGACAAAGGAGGCTTACACCGGGCCTCTGAAAGGCCCACAACCTAAACTCTAGCCAATATTTATGAACTATGAAGCCAAGTATATCATATTTGATACATAGTTTTATGCATGAGGTATGAGCCAGAGGACAGTTGAGGGTAAGCTAAAACTACCTAATACTAGCTTGCTATAGTGGACATTTACACAATAAGCATAGCGTAAAACAGTTTAACTGTCTAAGATATTAGTAAAACTGATTAAATTGCTTACAGTGTTCTGGCTTTGTGTTTTTATGATTCAGCACAGGTGGAACAATATCAAACCAGTTACCAAAGGAGAATTGATTTGATGCAACTGTTATCACAAGAGTAATAAGTGAATAAAGAGACTAGCTAAAAGGTGATGTGGTATAATTCGCTTAGTCTTTACGTGACTTAAATGTGAGGTCAATAACAAGATATTGAAGGGATAGAAGTAGGGTAGGAATGGACAGTTTTATTGTTATTACACCGTCACAAGTAAAGAGCAATGAAATTAACACTCTGCATGTAACCCATCCCCTTTGCGGCCAATGGGCTGCCATTGTGCGGAGCCTGGGGGGGCAGTGTTGTATAAAGGGTCTTTTTGCTCAGGGACCCAGACTGGCAGTCTGTGGGAGTGAAGCTTGAACTCAGAACCTCAGAATTCCAAGCTCTATGCCCAAACCACTAGGCCACCACTCCCCCTAATACCAGGTAAAAATTACAACTACAATACAAGTCATAAAATAATTCAGTCATTTCAATTGCAAATGCTTTTCCTGATGCAGCCCTTTTGGAGGGTCCTTCATAAAGTATCATCAAAATTAAACAACCTGGATTTGACTTAAATAAAAAAAAGTAATATAGCCAATATACGTACTGTGACTTGGGAGCTGATGAACAGTGCAGCCCAGCACTGAAGTTCCACGACTAACGCATACACCTTGTGAATGAACAGTTCCTCTCCCTCTTGGCTTTGGGGTCCATCTTTACAGTCAGGAACACTGTCCTTTTTAGAGGCTCCATCACCTATCTTATCAACCTTTGTGGGTTCGTCCAACCAGACTGGGTCCTCTTCTGGCCTCAGGAAGATGGAGTCTTCAGTGTGCGAACGAGCGGAGCTGCTCAGCCGGCGGGTCATGATCCCTCTGTTAAATTAGAGTACTTGATATGATTGCTTTATGAGCAATAAAAGCCACATTTAACCCCTACCCCTCCACAAAAAAATTGAATCAAATGAGGTTCTAGCATTTCATCTCTAAGGCTGTCCAGAAGAGACCCCAAAACAAATATTTCCTTCAGCTGTCTGAAATTTAGAGTTTTCTTTTCCTTTTCATGTAGCCAAAGAGGTTGAATTATAACTTACCAACACCAATGTTTTCCCTGTAAAAATACACGTTTCCTGTGCTTATCAAGTTGTGCAAATGTGTTTTTCAATGAATGCGTGTATGGTAAAAAAGATTGCACCTTTTCCTTAGAGCTATTCACATGTACAGCTAAGCGACAGAGTGGCTCTCATCTCCGGATCCTCTTGTCTCCTTTAGATGGGACTCCATTGTGTGAAAATGTGTGTATGTGTGCATGCGTATTGTAGAAGGATGAGTCAGGGGTAGCATGTTTACGGCCCTGTCCGTCGCCTTGGCAACAGAGTGGCACTCATCCCTCTCATCCGACCCGAGCATTATCATCTACTGATGGCGCACATGCAGTCACACACACCTTTATAAGAGTCAGCAGTGTATGCAGAGCCCATCTGTGCCCTCCACTTTTATCCTTCAGCCATTAATGAAGATGTTTTGTACATTTGGTGGATAAGCGCCACGTGATCTGTGTGAATATGAATGTGGAGCCCTTTGAAAGCCGTGATGTGCTATTTTTTTTTTGTCTGAATGTGTTGTTAATGGCTAAATTTGTCATGTCTGAGTTTAGACCTCTTTTTTTTAAATCAATGACAAAAAACTGACAATGAACGTTGCACCGCTTTGAAAGCTGGAAACAGCAAGAGAGGTGCCTTACATAGAAAGTAGGATGTCGATGACTCAAGATAGGGTTACAGTATTCACTAGTAAAGCCTGAGACCTTTACAATTGTCAGCAGAATTATAGTACCTTCCCCCCCCCCATTCAATAAATGTTATCACTGGATTTAATGCAAAGTTTTTAATTATATAACTCTACAATGCAGTGATTAAAATAATAGAACAGATAAACAGGAGGATCTATGCCTTGAGCTTTTCTGACACCTTCTGCATAACATTTTGTAGTTATCACACTGATTCCTGAGAATCAGTGTGATAACTACAACTGAAAGAAAGTGGTATATATATATACCCTATCCATTACATTCCCTTTACTCTTTTTTTCATAACTAATGTAAGGGCAGCGCCTTCAATGGCAGCAAGGCCTTGTACATGCAAAAATACATATATATCCAAATAACCACAATCTCAAGAAAATGTTGCGTTCCATGAGTCTTAGAAATTTCAACTGCAAAGCCTTCAACCATACCCAACTTTCATACAGCTTTTGGCTAGCGGGTTATATTGAATACTACAAAAAGCCTTTTCTCATCTCGTTTGTATCATATTATGTTAATTGACCATACTGGGATGAACCGTTTACATGCATGTTAAGTGCATATAACACTGAGCTTTATCTGAATGGCAGGCATCAGTTCTTTTTTACAAAATGAAACTTGATCAATTAAACTTCTGAGTAAAAATGTTGAATATATATATTTTTTAAAATTACATAAGAAAACAAATGGAAACATCTGAACTGTCTAATCTGTTTCAAAGTGTATGTCAGCGTGTCTGTATTTGGAAAACTAATTAGGTCTAGTAGGTCTACCTTTGTCCCACCACAATCTGAGCCTCCCTATTATGAGACAAATATATGGTTCATTGCTGTTGCTTTTGTGAAATTCAAGCTATGTCACTATGCTAATACTCCTTCAGCCCCCACAAGGATTGCTACTAAACTTACCTACAAGAAATGGCAGGGAACTGTTGAGGGAGGCAGATGATCACATGATCAGTTTGAATCCTGTATCCTGGGGCAACTGGTTGTTGTCAGCCATTGTAAGGCAGAGTTGGTTCTGAAGGACAAGACAACAGATGTACTGTATGTTGCATAGCTTGAATTTTCCAGCTGAAGAAAATGAGGTTAAAAAGAATAAAGCAGTAACAGTCATTGCTTAATTTAAGGCGAAATAGTGAAATCAGCGTGCTTAAATCAACTGGTCACGCTCTCAACCGGTTTCTTTTAGACATGGATCAAGGCAGCAACATTTGCACCTATCAGATGTGCTTTTATGAGTAAAGGATGGTGATGTGAGATGACTGAGAAACTGTCAATACCTCTTTCCTTCTTCGTCTTCGCCCCCCTGCCTTTCCCTTCTCTGACAGGCAGAGGTATGATTCTAGTCAGACTTCGCCGACACCCTCAGAAACACATTCAGATAGCTAGTCACATCAGTATGCATGAAGCAAAGCTTTCCCCTCACTACTCCTGTCTCCTCTTCAGCATCTCCCCTCCCCTCCTCTGTGCCATTGGACCCTGATGTCCGCACAGGGTGAGCTCAGCGGAATATGAGACCACACCAGTGGCTAAAGATGCCTCTATGTGTGTTGGTTTAAGAAAAACAGTGCAGGTGATGAACAGAGGGGAGCTTTTTTGAGTCCTTTTGCTCCTCTCTGTTGCTCGCTGTGAAGGTGGTTTTGAAGTGATGACGCCAGTAAGCACTGCTGGTAGCTATGGCAATGTGCATACAGGCAATGTATATGAAGCATGCTCATAAACGCTCACATAGTCATGCACATGCAGCTGGGGAACGTGTTGGACTAGAGAAAGCTCAGCATCCTTCCATTTTTTAAACGAGAAGTGAACAGGTAGATGAGTGGAAGGGGGGAATGAATGGAAGGACCGTAGCATTTTTTTTTTGTATGAAGGTTGTCTCAAGCAATGACGCAGTGAGGTTGGCGTTTTGGTAACTGTGGTAACCAATATTCTGTGTTATGTGCATCACCACACACACACCTGGGCAGGTAAGCACTGCATTAAAAGAAGCAAAAACACAGATTCTAAGTGGAGGAGCGGTGAGGATATTTCATGTGTATAATTTTTTTTAGGCTCTTTTGCAGCTGAGTGAATTGTTTGGAACATTTATGGTCCCTATAGGCTTTAGCTAATTCGATTTGTCCCCAGGAATTATTTACCAAACACAAACAAACAATAAAAAAAAAAAAAAGATTTTTGTGTACAATATCAAACATACAACAGATATATACTAGAATGTTAAACTTATAGAAAATATACTTTTCTTTTTCCAAACTTTAAAAATTGCAAAAATGTACTCATTGCATATGGGTTTTTTCTGCTGCATTTAAAGGGGCAAAATATGTGGAACAACATGTGCGGGATAAATAGAAGGAACACTGATAGTATCCTGTAATCATATATGCCTGTGTGGAAATATAAAACACTCAGACAAGTTACTTTTTATTAAAAGTTAAAAAAGAAAGCTTCAGTTTCAACTGATGTGGTTTAATCACAAATAAGTACAAATTAATTGCATTTTAATTTTATATATATTTTTTATATATATTTTTTTATTGGACCCAAATGCTAATACATGCTAAAACCCTTCCCCCAAAACTAAAGTTAGTATGTAGGAGGATAAAAGCACTTCATACATAGAAAAATCAGTATTGCTATAATTTTTGTAATATGGAATTATTACTTTTTTTTCTTTTTAATAAGGTTAAAGCTTGGATAATTATTCTGCATATCAAGCAGTTATTTTCTGTTTTTTATATGCAGTTTTTACAACTTAAAAAAAAAAAATTATTTTAATCTTCATCAGCAAAATATTTTAACCATCAGATAAGTTTATTAAACATTTCTCTCTCATTTCTATTTTCTTCCTTCTCAACTTGCACTTAAATTAGATTTTTGATTATGAAGACTTAAACTGAAAGAATATTTTTTTATCATAATGAAATATAGGTTTTAATATAAACATAAGAATAATAATTATAAAAAAACGTATCTATCACAATGTAAGAAAATGATGGAAACTTGCTCGGCGCTGCTCTCAGACCAAATGATATCACAGTGAATAAGTCAAACCTAACAACTGATTTAGCTTCATTTCTGTTTGAAGGTCTCTGTCATTGAGTCCTTACACACATCATTTTCTCAGACTTTAAATAGAGCTACGTATTTTCATTCAGGAACCAAGAGCCCAACAGAGTTATACAACAAACCTGTCCTTCTAGTCCACTGGGTCCAGAAGGGCCGCTGTTCCAGGACTGACCCACAGCTGCCAGTTGTGTAAAAGCTCTTTCGGAAAATCAGGAACAAAGGGAATTAATGTGGTGACAGCTGGCTCGTGCTTTAAGGGATATTTCTGGTTCTTTGGAATTATGTCTAGAGATGAAACCAAATAAGCTGTTCTGCCCTATTTTTTTTGTCTTTTATTTAATTTGTCTTCCATTAATGAAATAACCCCTATGGATGATGGGAGTATTTAGTTTCCAGGTGCTTAAGTGAATAAAGAGGTGAGTATTGACCATGCTGTTGCAGTGCTTATGTAGCGATGAGAGAAGATAGGCGGAAGCTCTTCCAGAAAGTGATGATAGGAGGGTAAACTGAGACAGAGTCATGAGACCTGCCTCGTCAATTCACACAAACACACACTGATATATTCTTGATAGCAATAGATGGAGGTTGGGGGCGGTCAGGGGGAGGGGGTTGGGTTGATCACAATGACTTTATGAAACAGCCTGTAGACGCACAGCTTTGCTCTGTTTATCGAAAATATCAACAATCAAAACAATCAATTGGGTCCACAATTTTTGGCAGTGATTCCAAAATGCTTTACATTGACAAATCTCATTAATATGCAGATAAACTCCAGACTCATAACAAGCTAAACTGTGTGAATAATTAAAACGTGCTTCACAGTGAAGCAATTTCCCAGGCCCCTGGAGATGAATCTGGATTCCTGTTGACAAAAGGTTGTGTTACGTGACTGCGCTGCATCAAAGCTCCAGTGCAGGAATGGCATCCCCTGGCAGTCATTCATGCTAAGACAAAACACCATTCATATCACGTACATGGCTACGGTGAGTTAGAGCGACCACACAGTGCAGGGCTGGATGGATTAGTAATGAATCATCCAGGGAGGTGGACTGTTGCATGTCTCTATTTGGCAACTCCCACATAGTCACATATGAATAATAGAGGAAAATCAACATTTTGGTCACATTTTGGACATAAAATATTTATCCTAAAGCGACGATGAGCAGCCAACCTGTTGGCAAATGATCCGCTTCATCAGTGTGGGAATGAACAGAACAGGAACGCTGTCACACATCCCTACCTTTTTCTAGCCAGGAGAATGAAACTGGGGGTGCTTTGGTGAGAAATTGGTATTCACCTCATGTCGCACAGAAGGGGGGG